CTTCGTATCCTATTCATTTTAGCTATTTAAAAATATTATTCTCTCACATATACATAGGTTTCCGAAGTTACATGTTCCCATCAGGAGTTCCGAATAAATTCTCTGTATCCGATTGGTACTACGTAGCGTCACACCCTACAAGTCCTCCTTTGAGTAAGTAAATGAATAAAAACTCCGTGGCTTTAGTCTGCAAGCGAACTATACCGACCGAGTGACCGCCCTTTGTCGGCAAGGTAAATGCCAACTTTAGCAGGTAAATGAATGAAAAAACGAAAAAGTAAATTACCAATAGCTTTTTAAAACCATCAGAACACAGAAGTCTTCGCAAAGAAGAAGCATTTCAAACTGCGGCATTATGGATACAATCCCAGGAACAAACTAACAATAAGTAAGAAATAAACCAACCCAAAATAAAATAAAAATTGAAAGATTCTCCACTAAAGCAGTTTCACTTAATGGGGAATTTGTAGTGGTCGAAATGGTATTGGCGCAGCTTTGTCCGAGTACTTTGGTTTCCCCTGCCAATTACGATTTCATTAAATGCTCCATTTCTGAAAACTAACATCCAGGACTCGTACAATAGGCCACTTAAAATATAAGTGTCAAGAGATTTGGTGTCTCTACCAAAAAAATAAAAAAATTGGTGCAAAAATATTACGCGTGTTCTCATCTAAGTCTGACCTTGACTAAGTTACTTTCGAAACGACATCAAAATCTGTTCGGTAGGCTATTGATTTTGCTGATTATACATGCTTGGACATGAAGGCATTTCTTAATGATTTGGGCCCCGAGTGCGACTACCGTTACTTTCTGAAGATACAATATATACATTTTAAATACGGCTGTGGTCTCCATAAATTACAGAAATTTAATTTAATTTTTATAAATCTTCCAGAATATCGTTCTTTTGGTTTTTAGACAGTGAAGAACTGTTAAATACAAATTGTGAATAAAATCGATCGAGCTACTTAGGAGTTACAGAGGGGCCCATCCGTACATATAGACAGAAGATGTTCCAGAAACCCTTCCTTTTTTCGTATTCAAGGGAGATGATGATATCTAAGTCGATCAAAAACTCCAGAACTACTTTTCACCATCGCAGTACTTCCTAGTGTCCTACATACGTGAGAAATGGAAACGAAAAGATCAGGATATTTCAGGGGAATCAGCGATTGGTCTGAGATGATGTAATGACGTCACATTCCTGTAGAAAGCAACTTTAATCATTGCTCTAGTTCCAGTGGATCTCTTCACACTTATTTCATGTTAAAATGAACTAGGCAGTGAGGCAGTTAGTGAGGCAGTGAAATACATAACCCTCGGACAGCCTACCGCAATGGCTGCAGGGGCCGACCGGATGTCCGCTGGTTCACCTGCTGTCATGCCATCACACCTGACTGAACTGCGGGCAACCCCATCCGTGGGAACAGCAGAACAGCCACTGTTTTGATTTCAGTTCTCTCGAACTTCGTTTAGAGTGGCCCACCCGACACTCTTGTCAAGACCATTCTTAAGGGAAGGCAGCAAGTTACATCTTCAGAGTACCAATTTCATCGCATTTAGATGCGCTTTTCTAAGCAACCATATACACTAAAAGTTTGTGACGATGCTACATTAGAACAAATATTATGTTTCTGGACATTATCAATCGGCCTGTCTTTATCTAAAAACACGGTCCTGTTTATATTTCAAAACACAACGTTTCGGAGACTGGATTCTCTCTCCGTCTTCAGGTAAAACCTACTCAGTTTGGCCCAATTGATAGAGCTAGTCCCTATCTAGGCCTGAAGATTGGACCCAACTGAGTAGGTTTTACCTGAAGATGGAGACAGAATCCAGTTTCGAATAAGCTGTGTTTTGTAATATAAACAGGACCATGTTCTTAGATAAAGAGAGGACGATGGATAATGTCCAGAAACACAATATTTGAATCACGTACTCCCCAGGTATGACATTTGGCACACCTACTTGAAGGTTCTTTGTATCTGCTGGCGTTTTTAAATAAATATCATAACAGAAAAAACGTTATTAAAGATAAATTCAAATAAAACTGGAAAAGGAAGTAACAGCTATGTAATATGCCAATAATTTCAAATTGTGGAGCTTGTGGTAGCTTAGAAACATTTACCTATATTTGATAAAGTGAACATTTCGAAAGCATGGCCTATCTATCAGTTCAGGGAAATACATCATTGTGGAATTTAGTCAAAGACTTCAGCCATAGAGATCTAGGCGAATAATGTTGAAATAAATTCAAATACCTAGGCGTAACGTGTAAAGATGTGGATTGGATTCAGCTGGAACATGATAGAGACCATGGAAGGGTTGTTGGGAACACTTATAATTATAATATATTTCCCTACCAATTAATATAATCCATTACGATCGGTATCACTACGAGTAACTCATGTGTCAGCGTACGCGTGCTGGCACGTAAGTCATCATCGCTGGATCCCTGTGTAACAGAGACAAGTTTTCTCAGTGATAACATACAGATATGTACGTGGTGATTAAGAAATAATGACGTTTGCGGTGATTACAGTAGCCGTCTTTCTTTTTTTCTACAGCTCGGACATTTGGATCGTAATTTTGAACCCTTCTCAGTCATGGATGCATTTTCTCGTATTCTTTAGGCTTTTGTTGTACTTTGTAGGTAGAGGCCTTGCGTTGGGCCGATCCCACATCTAGTGGGTCCTACCAAATGCGTAGACGATTCAAATATTCATATTATAATTATGGACTGGAACAGGCCAGAGTACCTAATCTGTAAAATTTTAAGATGAAGAAGAAGAAGATGATGGATCATCGCCATCTTTGAGCCGATTGTCTAGGAAATGTGGGAGCCTCAACGTCTCACAACCCTAGGGGCCTTCACGGCCTGTTACAGGGATAGCTTTACCATTTACCTCTACGCCTTCCTAGCGGGTTTTTCTCCCTTCTGACCTCACCAAAAATCTGTTTGCATTCCTCTTCTCTCTTGTGCGTGCTACATGCTCTGCCTATCGCATCCTCCATCATTCTAATTTGTTCTTACCTTAGAGTACAAGCCTAGACAAAGAGTTCGAACTGTGTAATTTTCTCTATTCTCTTTCTACGTATTCGTTCTTATGTCCAAACATTCTCCTGAGCACTATGCTTCCCGCCATTGCCAGTCAATCAGTCCAGCAAATCCAAGGACGTGTCTGCAGAAGTTATCTCTACCTGCCCCCAGCGTACCACTGCTCTGATTGCCAGCCCTGTGCTCGCCAGCCATCTGTTGCGGTGTTGCGGCAGGAAGTCAGGAGATGGGCAGAAACGCCTCATGTCTTCAATGAGGGGCGGATCTACCTCCCTTGTAGAATTTTCTTGGTAACCTTCGGAAACAGTTCTATCAATTTTGATGATGCTGTCCACGGCTTGTCCTTAAGAGAGAGAGAGGAGAAAACTACAAGATGTAGAGGACAGAATTCATGGAACTACTAATTATTTAAAAACTATTGAACTAACTCTTTTGGAAGGTAAAAAAGGTAAAGCTGTCCCTGTGCTTCACTAATTAAGCACTACGCCATGAAGGCGTGTGGGGGGATGGATGTATAGATTCACATTTTCTTGTCCTCGGCACTAGTTGGAGGTGAGTGGTCAGCTTCACGCCACGGCCGCTTTACCCCCGATGAAAGAGCCCTTGTACCCACTGGATAGGAGGTTTGGTGGACCCCAGAGCCTGCCTGGACGAACTGTAGAAGAGAAAATTCTTACCCCCACCGGGACTTGAACTCGGACCACTCGGTCGTCCAGCCCGTAGCCAGTCGCTATGCCGACTACGTTATCCCGGCTCCTCTTTGGGAAAGTGTTTCACTGTTCAGTGAAAACAGCACAGCAGCCCCGAGCAAACCCTGGAAGATATAAAGAACATCCACATCAAGATAGACAGGTGGCACAATATCTGCCCCATACAAGAGGGAAGATGGGAGGACGAACACGAGCCTGAATGATTTATGAATTTTAATTATTGACAATGTAAAAAATTTGTAATTAGCATCAAGAAATTTTAAATAATTTTTTTAAAACTTTACATTCCGAGGAAACTGCTGTGTTTGTGAAATATTCTATTTTGTGTACTATGTATTGTAACATATAAGTGTACGTACTTTACGTCTGAACAACTTATGTGAAGGGGGTTTCCTATTTGTAGTGATGTTTGCCTTCTGAAGATGGTCCGCACAGACCGAAACATGTAAGGGTGTTAAGTTTTCATGTAGCAATAAACTTACAGGTCACATTGGACGGAGTGATTTATATTTGTGAATGATATCCATTAGCTCACAGTCGGCCTTGAGAAAGTGCGCAACAGCTTCCATTTTATTTATTTTATTTATTTAACTCAAATTTTCATTGCCGCGTTAACAAGAGTCCGCTATTGGACCCTATTATAAGTCAATTGACTCTAGTGCGTGTAAATCTGAATTACTTAAGATCCACATTAATATCATCACTCCACTTATGCTTAGATCTCGGAAGAGATGAGATAACTTCAGGTTCTCCTACTAAAATTGTTACGTTTCTCTCATCCCATGGTGGATACATTTCAGGGTCGCCGCATCCTCCATGAGTTGATGACACTAATAATAATTTTTGAAGAATACAAATTATGAAGCTACTCGTTACGTAATTTTCTCTATCCTCCTATCGCTTCATCTTTCAAAATTTGAAATATGCACCCCAGAACTCTGTTCTAAAATGCTTTCAGTCTGCGTTCTTCCTCATCTGGTAATTATTCTCAAATTAATTTTGTGTGAAATGTAGTTGTTCATATCTAGAGTTAGCACTTGCTTAACTACCGAACATGTAGCACTTCTTGGTTCGGTCTCTGCTGTTGAGTAGCGCTCTCAAATATCCATGCTCAGCAGCACGAGGGCAAATATTCGTAAAATTGTCCCTGTGTTTAATAAATAAGCACTACGCCATGAAGATGCACGGGGAAGTTTATGTACTAATACTGTTATTATTTTGGTTGTTTTCAGAATAAAACTGAAGAAGGACTCTTCGACATGATGTGTGATAACGGGTGCAGAATAGAACACGTAAGTTGTCACTTGCAGACATATTACTTTTTTAGTCTATCCCGTGATAATACGACATAAACATTTACGACAGCCCTTAAAAAACTTCATTTAAAATATATTGAAGGAAAATAGAAATTCCTCGTCATTAACAGTGTTGTAAGATTTTAGTTCCTCTTTATATATCATTATGGTGAAACTGTGACTAAAGTGAGAGAACAAACTGCTCAAGACTACTCATGAGCCAGTTTCAACCAAATCTCACATTTTTAATGTACTAGTATCACACTGACGTGTATCTTCATGTTATCATGCCATTTCCTTTGTTTTCCAAGTAACTGTTTCCTAAGAGGTTTATCCAACAGAATTCTGTCTTCCATACCAGCAACATGCACAGCCCAGATGGCATTGTCTTCATATTAGTCTTTACTATGCATTCTGCATAAATCAAACAGCGCCTATCTGCGATTTAAGGTTCTTGCGGTCGTGTTTTTTATTGTTAGTGGGGTGAGACTAAGTCCTTTGTACTGCGGCCATTTCTGACCTATTGTACCAGCCCCAGATGATAGATGAGGGTGACTGTGGAGAAGATTTGCAGGGGAAACCGAAATACTCGGAGAAAACTTACCCCAGCGCCACTTTGTCCACCACAAATCCCACTTGACCAGACCCGGTATCGAACCCGGGCCGCCGCGGTTGGAATCCAGCGACTAACCGCTTGAGCCATGGCGCGGCCAACCGCGGCCGTCGTTAAGATGACTACTGTCTTCTGGGACATGACACAGTGTACGTTTGGTAGGCAGGTACCCATATTACTGATGAACCTATTACATCCATCTCGGGGTTCTGGCCTCAAAATGGGGCGGCACTTCTCCCCAATATTGCACACATCTAGCAGATTACACAGTGTCACACCCCAGCAGACAGTGGTCTTCACGCATTTCCTCATTGTGTTATATCCCAGAGTGTTTCCTTCGTCCTTCATAATTCGAAATATGTTACTGGATAATCTTTTAAATATCTGTCCTTTTGCCAAGTAAGGGACCATATATCACACCCATAGAAAGTAGTAAGGGGGTACGCGGTATCGTAATTGGTTGAGGCACTATGCTAGAAGACGGTAGGTCGCGGGTTCGATTCCCGATTAGATCATTGGATTTTTTAATTGCCCTAACACTTCCAGCCGCATTATGGCCCTGGGGCTGACTCAGCCTCTAGCAGAAATGAGTATCAGGAATGTTCCTGCGGGGTAAAGGGCGGCCGACGCGTAAGGCTGACAACCTCACCGCCATCTGTGAGCCGATTGTCTAGAAAATATGGGGGCCTCGACATCTGACAACCCTATGGGCCTCCACTGTCTGTTACATGGAGGGCCTTTTTTTTTCCTGTGGCGCTACAGCCACAATTTTGGCTTAGGACTACCTCCATGAAACTCTCCGTTTCACTTCGGTTTACTAGATCTTACACATACGGTAGGACTCCTTGGGCGGGTGATCAGCTCGTCGCAAGGCCTCTACCTGTAGACAAACATCCATGCCCTGAGTGGGATTGGAACCCACGATCCCGGCTTCCGAGCGAGCGAAGACAGTGCATGCCTTAGACCGCTCGGCTACCGTGAACAGGGAGAGCCTTACCTTTCACAAAATAATTTATGAAGTCGTGTAATAGACCCCGAAGATGTAATGTCAATAGCTCCAGGGCCATACATTGTTGATCCTATGCACTGAAATCCATTTCACTTAGTGAGAACCTATTTCCATAAGAGCCACTTTAAGGCAGTTTTCCCATATCTTTGCAAGCTTCTTCCTCACCAAAATTTTGTATGTGCTATCTGTTTCCCTAAATCTCCACTACGTCGCAACTTCATGATAATGTTTAAACTTATATCCACAGAACTCTTTGGAATTCCTAAGAAGACCAGCGAATGACAGTTTGAGAACCATTCGCATAAGAGACTTCTTTAAAATGAGGCATTCCTTGTGTGCAGAAACTGTGACAATAATAATACTATGTTAACCTTTGGCCACCGATAACCTGATATCAAGGTTATATAGATGCGACGTCATCTGTCTCATAGCGTCGCAGTCCAAAACAAATGAGTCGTATTCTGAACTGCGCCTGTCGGTCAGTCCGCAAGTTTCAACTCCGAAATTTCTTACACGAATTCACTGAAGCCCGCACTAAAAGTTCTCCAATTTCATTTTGGTTCATATGTGTATCATACAATCCCTACTTTACATGACCTTCAAAGCTTACACCGTAAAGTTTTAAAAGTACGAAACGCTTCTCCTATGTCATGAAAAAAATTGCATATGACGTAAAACATGGAGCTCATGGGCATCTACGAGTTGTATTTCAAAGGGGCTTTGTTCGTGAATGCTTGACAGAATAAAAAAAAACATAATTTATTATCCAACAGTGTCATGTTTCGTGCCTAAAGCGTTTTTGATGATGTACTTCCTCATCAGGTAGTGAAATATATCGTTACGTCATCGCTAGAAAGTTATTCAATATTGAGAACCAAAATTACAATAAAAGAGTCTACGTGTAAGTAGATTCCTAAGGATTCTGACGATGGTGTATAATACTAAGAATTACTAGGTACTACATGTCTTCACAAACGTTTCCATTTTCTCTATTCATTGGTGATCATGTACTTGGTTTTGTTGGCTAGGTCTGTAGCATAAATTTTGATCTCATTTTCTATCCTAGTTCCACGCATGCGTGTGCTTTATAACCATTTTTATTGCATATTTTCTTACTATCTCTGTCCGAATTAGCCTGGTCTGAGGTGTTTAAATATCTGTAGTAAATCTGACAGGGATTGCCCAGTGATTGTGGTTAGATCTTTCTAAGGGACTTAATAGAGTAAGTGCCTTCTGCACCTCACCTGAGGACGGAATCAGATACAGTTTCCGAAACGTTGTGTTCACTAGTTTCTAGAATACCGGACGATGGACAAAGTCCAAAAACCCAAAAATTCTGGGAAGAATAAATAGTTGAAAACGCGGGACTTTTCTTCCGCGAGGTTTCTATTCAATATACGAGCATGATATACCCTCTGCCTTAAACAGAGTATGCCCCTGAGTGTAACTGACTTTAGAGAAATGAAAGTCTGTTTGTAGAAAGTAAATTCAAAGTTACATCGCAGACAACTAATTTACAATATAGGCGAGGATCATTAGAGACCAACTTTTCAATCGTATTGTGCTATATACTAGCATAAATCCCTTTAAAAATTTAACGGAAAACTGTTAGAAACAGACTTCTGTTTGACAGCTGTTTGGAAAGGCCTACTAAGACATTAGACTACATAGAATAACAGTAACTACTAAGGATAATGATATCTAGAGGAAAGGAGGAACTGTAATATCGACTCAAACCTATCTTCTACTTTTTCCATCTTCGTTATAACATTTGTAACGATTATCCCACATTTATAAGGACAGAAAGTACGCCGTAGTAATTTATATATTATGTGCCCTTACGTAATTGTTGTAATTCCAAGTATCTTGAATCCGCTCTCACTTCTGAGGTTCCCATTAACACCATCTTCACGCATTCATCTCTCCAGCGTGTTCCGGCTTCAGATGCACTTCTTAATAAAAGCCTACTACGCTGCAAATCAATCCCTCCTGATCACTACCATGAAGTGTCCTTGGAAAACTGGTATTCTAGATCGCTTTCAAATATTCTGTCATCTTATTGTTGTCTCTTTTCTCTCTCTTAACCCATCGCCATATGAGCCGGGATATTGCATTCGGTATAGCAACTGGCTATGGGTTTGACGACCGAGGGGCTGGAGCTCGAGTCCCGATAGGGGAAATATTTTTCGTCTCTCCACATAGTCCAGACCAAATCTGGAACCCACCCAACCTCCTACCCACTGGGTACCGGGTGCTCTTTCCCCGCCGCTGAGTGAGGCTTATCATTCACCTCCAAATTATGCCGAGGTCAAGAATACGTGGATCAATACATCTACGCCCCCACACGTCTTCCTGGCGTGGTGCTTAATTAATTAAGCGCAGGGACTACTTTACCTTTTACGTTTAAATGTAACATATTTTGAGTACTACACAGAAAGAATTAATGCAAAACGTACTTTCAGTTGCTTCCTTTTTGTGGTTTATTTTACAACAAACAAAAAACTCCGTGGTTTTAGTCCGCAAGCGAACTATACGACCGAGCGACCGCGGCTTGCCGGCGAAGTTTTTTCTTAATTCGCTTAGTGGGGGGTGGAGTCCAACTGGGTTCACTCAGCACGTCGGCCACTGATTGGCCTATTGTAGCCTGCCCCAGGTGATTATGATGTAGATACTTTGGTGGAATAAAGATTGGCAGGGGAAACCGAAGTACTCTGAGAAATCCGCCAATTTGCCCACCACAAATCCCACTTGACCAGACCCGGGATGGAACCCGGGCCGCCGCGGTGGGAAGCCAGCGACTAACCGCTTGAGCTATGAAGCGGCTTTGTCGACGAAGTTAGTGCCAAACTGTGTGCTCTAGTGGTCTCAGAGTTCCTGGATACATATCCTGAGGTTCCGGGTTCGATTCTCGGGCATACCAGATTTTTTTAGAAGTAGTGGGTCTGGAACGGGGTCCAGTCATCCTCTTGAGGATAACTGAGCTCTTTCAATGAAATAGCGGAGCCGGTCTAGAAAATCTAAATTAACGGCCGCGGGAATTCGTTGCTTTTACCACGCGACACCCTCTATCCGCAAAAGTTGGCATTTTATTATACAACGCTGTGAGTATTTGCTGGTAGACTATGGTTGATGTACGATGAATTAGGATTTGGAAGGAAACGGCAATGCCTGGATGGATGAGATCAGCCACGGGAAACTTCAGTCAACACAGTCGGTATCGTGACTGAGAATCAAACCGAGCACCTCCAGAATACAAACATAAAAAGTCACCCCGACACCATCCCGCTGGAGTAGTTCATTTTGATGTGAACAATCAATCTACATCAAACCACTGATCTGACTACCTGACAAGATCTAAAAGTTTGTGACGATGTT